GTGTGTGTGTGTGTGTGTAGCTACAGAAAAACCTACAATATTTGCACCCCCAACCCTTCCCATCCCCCTTGAAATCTTTATACAATTCGGCCACTGCCTATAGCACATGTGTTTGAATTGTGCCAACTGACCCAGCCGGGACTCGAACCAGCGACCTTCTTACTGTAAGGCGACACTTGAGCCACCGTGTCACCCATTATTTGATACATTCACTCTGATTTGTTTTGAAATGTAGCCTGTTTTGTGAGATTCACCCTAACAAGACATTCCTGTAAAACCACAACCTGAACATTGTGAATTCTCATTTTCACATCAAAAAGACAGAATAAACACATAAATGTTGACTGGACACAAACAAACAAACAAACAAATTCAAACGGACACCACGAGCATGAGTCTAACACTCACGATACACACGCAGCTCTGAATTGCTCTGCTTGCGAATTGAAAAGTACTTTGAAAAAACTCTATATTAATATATTCTTAAACGTCTTACGCCCTTTCAGGGAAAGTTCATAAAATGTGCATTCAGTGCATTTTTTATTTCCTCTACGTTTTATTATCAAAAAGACAAATGCCACACATACACAATATAATTCTGCTCTATCTTTAAAACATGCTTCTATGTACATCGATTTATAGGTACATGCTGTAGAAACGGATCTGATCAATGCATATATACACAAGCATGGTTGAGTGGATTGCTTTGTTTTAGATATACACTGTAAAGATATCCGTAATTTAGCAGTTTTCTGTATTTCATGTTTTAATTTTACATTATTTATGCTTTTGAATTGCATTTTGGGACTTTAATCTTTATTTCTAACAACTTTTAAGCATGAAAAGTTGGGAAAAAGTGACTTTTATGAACATATTTGATAGTTTAAAGGGATGTATTGTCTGTGTTGGTGTTGTATATTATGCTACAAACACCTTGTAGTAAACCACCAGTACATTTTCTGTAATTTTACAGACTTATTTATCTTTTAAAGTCACTTTCAAACTCCAGAAACGTCAATAAAAGTCACTTTATTAAACTGTAGAGTTGAATTTTCAACATCAAAACTCGACAGAGCAAATATCAACCTCCCATAATGCAATTCACAACGGTAAATAAACACGTTTATATCATAAAATGCAGAAACTGTTAATTAGCAGATATCTTATACAGCGTACGTGGGGGAATTTTACCACACGCCCAGTTAAACCGCCACTTACTGATCCATTCCAGGTAATACTTTGGCATCTCAGAGAGGGATGAGTTGGAGCTCTGAACGAAGGCGGCAGTGACGTCAACCGAGTGTTCAAATGTATGCAAAATACACAGAGATCATCAAAACATGACGCAGAGCTCTCAAGGAATAACTTAATTCATATATAACGATCCTGTGATACATTCACAGCCGACTTTAGTGAACTGGATCTGCCTGGCCTGATGGGATCTCGCAGCTCTAGTAAATGTGAGAGATATGGCGGTCTGGATTTTGGCACTGTAATCGCAGCATTACAGTAAAAGAGAGTGTATTTATATGTCTACACTTTTACGCTGATTGGGTAAACTATTCTAGATGAGTGTGGAATTTAAACATCACAAAAATCTAAATCATCTTATGATTTGCTCACCATTAAATAGATAGCTAATCTAGAAATGACACTTTACTCACTGTTTATTTTCCCATCAGGAGTTTCTTTCTTCAGTTGAACATGAAAGAAGATATTTGGAAGAATGCTGGAAACCTGTAACCATTGACTTCCATAGTAGGAAAAACAAACAGTATGGAAGTCAATGATTCGCGGTTTTGAGCATTCTTCAAAATATCTTCTTTTGTGTTCAGCAGGAGAAAGAAAGGTTTAAAACAAGTAATGGGTGAGTAAATGATGACAGCCTTTTCATTTTTGGGTGAGGTGTCTCTTTAAAGCAATCTAAGTATATATGACTTTCTTCATTCAGATGAATCTTGTCAAAATTTATTTTTATTTAAAGATTTTTTTTGGCCTTTATTAGATGGGACAGTATTGAGACAGGAAGCAAAGTTGGAAAAGAGAGAGGGGGGTAGGGAAATATCCTCAAGCTGGGATTCAAACTCAGGACGACCTGATTGTCTGAGACCACCAGATGGCACTGTAGTTCACTAGGGAACTCTGGTAGCGAACTACAGTTGCTAAGAACTACAAGTCCATACATCCCACGTGCACACACCCGGTTTCCACTTCCACTGATTTGCAATACACAGCTGTCTCCACTTCCTGTTTGATTTCGTGGACTATTTATTCACTCTGCACCCGTCGTTTGTCTTTCTAGGTGAAGTAAGTCTTGTTTTGGTTTGTTGTTCCTGAGCCGTGTTCTTGTAATTCTGTCATAGTTTCTTGTTTTGTTTGTTGTTATTTTGTTACTTTGATTTTTGGACGTCTTGGTTTTTCTGTTTGCTGCACAATTTCATTCATTAAAAAACTGCACTTGGATGCTACACCTTTTGTCTCCGTCCCGTCAACAAACCGTGACACTGACTTGCTATTGCACCTTATGTCGACACACTGACCACTAGGCTATTGCACCGACGAAAGTTATTTTAAAAGTTCTACAATGCCAACAGGTAGGTTAAATGTCCAATAAAGCACATCCATCCATTAAAAACGTGCCTTATATGACACCAGGCGGCGAATAAATGTCTACTGGAGCAATTTGTACTGTTTTTGCAATCTGAATATCTATATTTAATACTTTACAAACTGTAACTTTTGCGAGAGGCTATCATCTGCTTTCTATTGTAAGCTCCATTTTATTGGTGAATTTATTTATTTTTATTGGTGAACCATCTGCTGGACAGGAGTGTGAAATGCATGCGTGGTTGAAAGAAACACAGTAGCGGCACATGCACTTCAAACTCCTGTCCAGCTGATGGCGCTAAATGCACCAAAAGATGCACCTCAAAAACATGACAAATCAAAAAATATTTTCGCTAAAAGTGTGCTATCTATTTATTTTTATTGAACCATAAGAATGACCATATTTTATCCATAACATACTGAAGAGAAAAAATTTAATTTATAGCAACTATATATAACTTTATTATAATAAGTATGACTAGTTCTATTGGATTGCGACCCCTGGGGTAACTACAATATATTAAAAACATGATAGCGTCAGATGCAGCAGATTGATTTTACAACACCAAATTAAACTTTCTGGCCCATTTACAGCACTCACATACAAATAAATCAATAAATAAATAAATGAAGAATATACTTGGGTCTATTGGGAATTCCAGTTCGAATCAATTTAACTAATTGCTTTGCAAAATGACTCACTGAATCTTTCAAAACATCAACGCTAGAGACACCTTGTGGTCAAAACCATATAAATGCAACAAAAACTAAGGCAAAACCTGTATTAGAATTGTGTTTTCAAACATATTACAAACATTAGTTTGAAAATATAATCTATAATTTGCGCGTATCTAATTTCATTAAATGTTAGTTGTCTGCATGATATGATTTCTTTTAGCAGTTTTCAAGGCTTATAAATTGTTTACTCCATTTTGGCCTCTGCTAAACACGCCAAAAAGAGACTATTAACTAAAATTATTCCATTTCGTTTTACAAATGCCTCACTAAGACATTTAAAAATCTAGTAAAACTGATCCAAGATCAGGTAAAATCAAATAAATCTGTTCAGCGATTCACCACTGGGGGTGGGGGGATCTGAGTGAACCCACGATTGTATGTAGATTTACCATGTAGATTTATGGTACTACACAGATCGCCCCCCAGTGGAGAAACACTGAATTTCCAAAACGTTTCAAAACAGTACCGATGTAATAAAGCCCTGTGTACTGGAATCACATGACCTTGCCAATTTGATATGTGCTCTGAACCAACCAATAGGCTGTATCTCTGTCTCTCCACTCCACCAATAGCTAGTGTGTCATGAGCGCACTGGCACCGTTGTCCTGTGGCTGCTGTCGCATCATACAAGTGGATACTGCACACTGGTGGTGGTGTGGAGAGACCCTTATCATGATTGTAAAGCGCTTTGGATGTACGGCAATACATGATAAATGCGCTATATAAATACACATTACATTACTAATTGGAAACAAAAGAATCTTAAAGGTTTGGAAACAGCCATTACCGGTCAAAAAAGTCATTGCCATTGTAGAGCTTAGAGTTAATAATTTACACTGTATTCGACTTTAACAAGAAAGTCATATACACTTAGGATGCCTTGAGGGTGAATAAATCATTAATGATTTTTCATTTTTGTGTGAACTAACCCTTTAATCTTTATTACAAACTCTAATGAACTAGTTCATTTATGAATATAGTCCTATCTAATGACACTAATAAATTTTGGGCGCATTAACATAAAAAATTGACATGTCTTACGGTCTAATTTACCCATTGGCGATGTAAACAGATCAGTCCTACACTACACTTTCTCCTGGGATGTTTGTCTAAATGCGATCATTGCTTTGTAATTGTGCAAATGTGTCGATATTTCTAACATAAACCCACATGCTATTTGAACTTTTGATTAGGCACAAAATTCCAGCTTATTAAACCGGTATATCCGACAAACAACATCCTGAAAAAATAAAAGTACTCCTGTTTATGAGATGACATAATAGCTTTTTATAATAGCTGCATAATAAAGCTGAAAATATAAACCAATATCAGAGGAAAGCTTAGGGGGAAATTGCACAAAATCATCTATTTTTGTGCAAAATTAAAATATTCCTGTTAATTAGATGAAATAGTAGGCTTTTATAACAGCTACATAATAATAATATACATTAATAATGATTATAAAGCAAAGTTAAAGGAAATTTTGAGGGGAAATCCCCAAAAATCATTTATTTTCAACACTTTCATTGTTATTTTTACCCAATTAGTGCATTTAACAGGGAAATCTAGGCTATAAAAAATATTCTCTTCACTATTTAGATGCACAGTGACATTTTTGGATCAAACGTGTCGTGTTTTTCAGTTTCTCCTTCCTCGGTTTTTCAATCTATGTGGCGAACGTGTGACTTTCAAGTATATTCTTTAGTGTTTTTGTTGGCGATTTCGTGAAACAAGCGCACGGATGAGTGTGGGGTGTCATGCATTGCTGAGTGGTTTGGTTAGTTGGTTAGTCAGGCTGAGATGTGTGAATTTTACTTCTTGGCGTTGAGGGCGGCCAGTGCGGCATCGATGTCCTCCTCCTGCTGGAGAGGGTGCCACTGGGCGATAGGACGCCGTGGGTTCGCCAGCATGTCGGACCAGTGCTTCTGTGACGTTCCTGAGGCTTTACTGCCGATGAAGATCTTCCCGATGGCATCGTTCTTGCCAATCTTGTCGTAGTCGAAGACCGTCACCACCACAATGATTTTCTGAAGCAGGAAGAGAAAAAAGTATGCAAGTTTGTGCATGGAAAAAAATGCACATTATTAGCTTACTGTATGTAGAGCTGAAGTCAGAATTAATAGCCACCCTGTATATTCTCCCACTATTTCCGTTTAATGGCGCAAGAGTCGTTTTAACGTTTTGTGCTACGCTGTTCAAATAGCAAATGCATTTGCGCTCATATGTGCACCCATAGGGGTTCTGGTCTAAAAAGGAAGGCGTTCTGAGGCACATTGCTAGCGCCGTTGCTATTTTGAGAAACTATAATAGATTTTTAAATAGACCAAAACAACGCCGGTCTAAAGTCCAGCGCAGAGTTGCGCCTCGCTTACACACTGCTTAATACACACAAGATGTAGAGCAATACGCAAATATCTTTACATGCGAAAAATAATTAAAATATTAAGCATATATATAGGACAACATAAGGATATATATAGGATATAAATATAAAGGATTAAAATATTGCAAAACATTATATTCTAGCCTACGTAAATATGAAAAACCACTGCTTTCATGCCTTCTTCATCTCGGGAGGCTTTTTCAGTTTATTCAATTTGCTTTTGTATAATGTTATTATTTTAGCAGTATTATTTATTATATGGATATTTATATTTGTTTTATTAAAAACAGGCTTAGATTTGCCCACCTGCAGGTTTTAGACCATGTGGGGCACAGCTTGTGTATTTGGATATAACTCAGGTTTTTGAGCACACTTCGTTATTATTGTTCATTAATTCGTTTGCTGGAAATTAGAACTGAATTTAGGAATAGTTTTGAAACAAATCTTTGCGCTTAGCAAACGAAATTAATTATTTATAGGCTAATTGATGTCTGTGCGTAAAAGTTTTCCCTATCCACGAGAGTGAAAGTGAAAGTAGATCATTTATCTCTCATTCTCGCGTTATCGGTCCAACAGATGCTCTGTTTAACTGTTTTCTTGCTAGTGAAATGCTCAGTTTTTCCACTTCCACTTACTTTACGTCATGTAAATAGCAAATGCGCTTATGGCGCAACACAACTGGCTCTTAAAGGGAATAGGAGATGAGACTCCGATTGGTTTATTCTCAAAACACACCTATATATTCTGACACGCCCTGAAAGCGTTCGCGCCCTGCGCTTTGCGCATGGATTGTCAAAATGGAGCCCTATGTATTTTAGCAAACTTGCCTTCATCAGGTCTCTTCATGTCTTCCGTAATGTCTTATGCTGATTAAAAGTGAAACCTCTACCTGCATTTGCTCTAGAGGGATCTCAAAGCTGAAGGACTCGTTGTAATAGGGGTTCAGTGTGTTCTTCTTCACCGTCGTCTTCTTCTTCTTCAGACGCTTTCCGTTCTGCAAGAGCTGGATCTTCACGTACGGGTCTGTAAGAGGTCAAACGTCTAGTTATCTGTATCAAACACATAAAAACAGGTCTAGACTCAGGATCTGTTGCAAGTCTCACCAGACAGGCCGCCCACGTCCATTTTCTTCAGGTTTTTGGCCTCGAGGATGCAGACGGTCAGTTTTCCTGCCGTCGGGACGTAACGCAGAGAGATGCAGATATCGCCCAGCTTCTCAGGCTGAAGGGAAAACATATTGATATGTGTGAGCATGTATTTCCTTTGGAGAAAGATAGGTGCTTGTTAAGTCATGGCGTATTAGTGACGCATTAAATACTGTTTCCAGGTCCAAGCCGCTACTCATTTTAATAGAGAAAATATTTGTTTATAACCATTGTTTAGTCATATCAAAAATTAAAGTGAATTGTATATAAAATCATGGTGTACAGAGTTGAAGTCGGAATTATTAGCCCCCCTTTCTTTTTTTGAATATTTCCCAAATTATGATTATCAGAGCAGGGAAATGTTCACAGTATGTCTGATAATATTTTTTCTTCTGGAGAAAGTCTGATTTGTTTTATTTCGGCTAGAATAAAAGCAGTTTTTAATTTTTTTGTCACCATTTTAAGGTCAAAATTATTAGCTCCTTTAAGCTATATTCGAAAACAAACCATCGTTATACAATGACATGCTTAATTAAATTAACCTGCCTAGTTAACCTAATTAACCTAGTTAAGCCTTTAAATGTCACTTTAAGCTGTATAGAAGTGTGTTGAAAAATATCTAGTCAAATTTTATTTACTGTCATCTTGGCAAAGATAACATAAATCAGTTATTAGAAATTAGTTATTAAAACTATTATGTTTAGAAATGTGCTGAAATAATCTTCTCTCCGTTAAACAGAAATTGGGGAAAAAATAAACAAGCGGTCTAATAATTATGTATAAAAAAATTAATCACATTCTTGCCATCGGATTTTAGGCATGAATATATTAATGTATATATATATACTGCGATCGTGATTTTCAAAAGTATTACAGCGCCTTGCAAACAGTTTGATAGAGGGCTTGGACCTGGAAGCTGCTCTGCATGACGTCACACACCAGCGCTCGTTATAATCATAAATATTCCCTTTAAACTGAATACAATCTTACATCAACAACACATGGCAAGCAATGCGTTGATAATAACATATATAATCATATTGGATTACAAACAACCCAAGGAGTTGTTTAGCACGCATGCATTACTGCTGTTGTGTTTAAACATGTAATATTTTTCCTGAGGTGATTTAAACTAAAATACACAAGGGTACTCTATCAAACACATCTACAAAGATAGGAATATGGTTACTTACTGAGTTATTAACGCCAATACTACACAAAGAAAGGACGGACTTTGAAGGAATAAACAGTGTGAGGAGAGCTCCATTATAGTGCACTGGACAAGCAGTGTTGCCAACTTAGCGACTTTCAGACCCCTCTAGAGATCAACTTTCAAAAAAGCGACTAGCGACAAATCTAGCGACTTTTTTGTGTGCTACTGGAGATTTTTATAGACTGTAATTTTCCATACTGTACCGACCCTACTCTTCTCAACGAGCTGTGGGTGATGCCGTCGGCCCCTCCCCCACCTCAGAGCACTGACAGGTGGCCCAGTCAGTCCTCGTACAGCAGCCTCTCCCACCTGCAGCCCGAGAGCAGATCACCCCTCTGCGTACCGACGGCAAATGATTTAGCACCAGCGGTGTGAAGGTATTTCCCTTGTACAGTGAAACCGATCTGCTTCTCCTGTATTTTAGCAATATAATTTGGCCGTTTATTCTTTTCATGTTCACAATCACAGATATTCTAAGTAAGAGTTTCAGAACTTGTCTGAGTTTATCACGTCTGAGAGATTACTGCAAATTCACTACACATCTATATTGATATACAGTATTCAAACAGCAATACATTTAGTTAAATTGACATGCTTGCATAAAGTGTAATGCAAATAAAAATACCATAAGCTGTTAAACAAACAGAAATGGTAAAACGTGATGACGTCAGTAATACGCAAATTAACGCATAACGTAATCTAGTGACTTTTAGCGACTTTTCGGGCAGAGGATTGCGCCTTTTCGTTGAAATTAGTTGGCAACAGTTTGGACAAGTCTGAACATGTTCTGCCCACGCATGCATGTGGCAGGCAGTTCTGTACAATTACATAATTTATCAGCTTAAAGATATCAGCCTAATTTTAACATTGGACCGACAACGATAATCTTAAAAATAGCATGCATCCGCCGATAACGATATGGCTGCCGATATATTGCATCCCTACCTCATATTGTGTCTATGTTCCCTGTTTGCTTTTGCTTTAGTTTTGATAATAAATTGGGTAACACTTTATTTTGATGGTCCATTTGAGTATTAGTAGACTGTCTGCTTAATATCTGCTGATACTGCTCCTTCAACAGATATTTTACTGACTATGAAGCTTTGCAACTACATGTCAACTTACACTAACCCTAACGCTAACCTAACAGTCTACTTATAATCTAATGAGAATAGTTGGCATGTAGATGCAACGTAACTTAAATTCAGCAATAATAGGAATATGGTTACTTACTGAGTTATTAACGCCAATATTACACAAAAAAAGAACGGACTCTGAAGGAATAAACAGTGTGAGGAGAGCTCCATTATAGTGCACTGGACAAGTCTGAACATGTTCCGCCCATGCATGTGCGAGGCAAGCAGTTCTGTACAATTATATAACTTATCAGCTTAAAGATATCAGCCTAATTTTGACATCAGATCGATAACGATAATCTTAAAAATAGCATTTATTGGCCGATAAAGATATGGCTGCCGATATATCGTGCATTGCTACCTCCTATGGTGTCTATGTTCCCTGTTTGCTTTTGCTTTAGTTTTGATTATAAATTGGGTAACACTTTATTTTGATGGTCCATTTCAGTATTAGTAGACTGTCTGCTTAATATCTGCTGATACTGCTCCTTCAACAGACATTTAACTGACTATGAAGCTTTGCAACTACATGTCAACTTGCACTAACCCTAACCCCAAGCTAACAGTCTACTTTTAATCTAATGAGAATTAGTTGGCATGTAGATGCAACATAACATAAATTCAGCAAATGGACCATTAAAATAAAGTGTGACTATAAACTGTACAGTGTGTAGATTCTCTCCTCATTTTTCGTTCCTGTGTAACACGCTGGACTATAACTAAAACAGACGGTAATATTAGTTTGAATGTAATAATCACCTCCTCCTTCTCAGCGCTGTCCAGGTCTCTCCACTCTTCAATGGGCTGGCCCAGATCCAGGGTGTTCATGGGTAATTTCACCTCACCTATGATGTCGTGTTTGGAGAATCGGTCATAATCATACACAGACATGACCAGCGTCTTCCCACCCAGCTCCTGGTACGGGATCTAACATCGAAAACATTCAAAACAAATGACATTAATACATAGGAAAGAGTTGATATGATTTTTTTCATCAAGGACTGTTGAATAAATCTAATTTGAATATTTGTTTTGCTTTGTGTTTATGTGTGTTATTTTGGTAACACTTTAGTTTAGGTCACAATTCACTCTATTAACAGACCAATAACTAACCAGCCTAATAAACTACTAATTAGCTGTTTATTACTAGTTAGTAAAGGTTTAGGTTTTGGGCAGGATTAGTAATAGTAAAAATAAGATCATACTATATAACTAGTAATAAACAGTTAACATCGTAATAATAGGTATGTAATAAGCCAGTAGTTAATAGCATGAATTGTGACCTGAACTAAAGTGTTACCATATTTTTTTGCGTTTAAAAATATATTACACAGTCTGTAAATAAAAGTTTGTGAGTAAAATTTAAAAAATATTTATTTACAATTTAAAATAAACCATTATAATGTATAATTAAATTGCATGATATCTAACAATATATTAAACACTGTAAATTAAAATATAATAAATGTAATGAATAAATAATTTTTTTATGTTTTAATTCGCAATTACAGTGTTTAATATATTGTAAGATATTATGCAATTGAATTTTGCATTATAATTATATATTTAGAAAAATAAATAAAAAAAGTTTACTTACATTTAATAAAAGTTTGATATGAGTGTGTGTGTGTGTGATTTTTTTATGCTAAAATATGTTTAGATTAGTTTGAATATTTAAAATAAAGTATGTGTGTACAAATTAATAATATTTAATGCAATTAAAAATAAAAGTGGTAATTAGTCACTTGAATATTTAAAATAAAGTATATCCTTAATAATAATAATATATATACAGTTGAAGTCAGAATTATTAGCCCCCCTGAATTATTAGACCGCTTGTTTATTTTTTCCCTAATTTCTGTTTAACGGAGAGCAGATTATTTCAACATACTTCTAAATATAATAGTTTTAATAACTAATTTCTATAAACTGATTTATTTTATCTTTGCATTGATGGCAGTAAATAATATTTGACTAGATATTTTTCAAGACACTTCTATACAGATTAAAGTGACATTTAAAGGCTTAACTAGGTTAATTAGGTTAACTAGGCAGGTTAGGGTAATTAGGCAAGTTATTGTATAATGGTGGTTTGTTCTGTAGACTATCGAGAAAAAATATAGCTTAAAGGGGTTAACAATTTTGTCCCTAAAAAAAGTGTTTATAAAATTAAAAACGGCTTTTATTCTAGCTTAAACAAAACAAATAAGTCTTTCTCCAGGAGAAAAAAATATTATCAGACATACTGTGAAAATTTCCTTGCTCTGTTAAAACAACATTTGGGAAATATAAAAAAAGAAGAAAAAAAATCGAAGGGGGCCAATAATTATGACTTTATTTATACTTTATTTGAAATATTCAAGTGACTAATTACTGCTTTTATTATTAATTGCATTATATATTATTAATTTGTACATTTACATTTATAAAAATATATTATTTATTTATCCAAAGCAACATATTTTACAGTTATTTTTCAGTGATTGTGAATCAAAGCCTTTAAAAAAGAAAAACGTAAAATAAAACAAGTGAATACCTTTACATTCTTGTATTTTTAAAGAAAATCACACAATCACTATTTACTACCATTCACACATGATTTGCATGAGAAATCCTCCTAAAGTTGCGGGTTTTCTCCATCTCGCTGGTACAGTGTACAGACACGCTGGTTTATTTTTAGCGGCACAGTCAGCCGTTCTCACTGTACGGCAGGTGCTTGAAGTCGGCTGATTGTTCCTGTCCTAGATCACTTTTCTGAGAGTGAGACTATTAGAGCTCCAGCATTGACCACCAGAGAGATCCGCAGCCCCTCTGGAGCTCATTACACTCACACACTCATCCAGAGCTGCAGGGGGCTTTAGCACTGAATGCTGGAGTTGCAGAAAACAGCCAATAAACACTAATGACTGAACAACATCAGTGTGTTTCTTATAGTCCTTATACAGTGTGCGAGTCTGGGCTTTCAGATCGTATAAGTTTTAGTTTTTAAACATCATAATGCATTTTAAATGCAAAATAGATTCATATTTTAGGCGTGTTTGGAAATGAAGAATTGTTATTTTATAATAATAATAATAATAATTCAATATATTTATATTTTCTAGACATTCAAAAATATTTACATAACTATACATTTTGTCAATAAAAACTATATGGTATTTGATTCTCAATAATGAGTGAATGTGAGGAAAAAAGTAACATTTTATTAAGTAAAAAAATAAATAATTTCTTGTAAATAAAAAAATTACCTAGAAACACTCGAATATATATATATATATATATATCCACATATATTTAATTTTAGGCTGGCAGAAATATTTATTTGACTTTGTGGTTTTATGTAGACTTGATTAAAATCTTTTGAATTTCAATGAAAAATTATATGAATTATATTCAATGAAAATATTAAGAAAATATTCAAAAATATTCAATAAAAATATAAATAACAAACAAAAACCTACAAATTAAGTCTAAAAATTAGGTGAGATATGGGAAAAGCATGCATGTGTATATAATAATAACAACAACAACAATGTATGTGTATGTATGTAGTTATATGTTATTTTAGATGCGATTAATCTAAATTAGTTTGACAGCACTTATTGAAACATAATATAACAAACACACATTTATATCGCAAAAGTGGGACACTGATATAACTAGATCCTTTTCATTTTAAAGAGGGGATTTAAATGGTCGTGAAGCATTTGCAAAGTTTCAGTCTTCTCTGAAACGATGTCTCTCTTTAGGCCAATTACAACATAAACATTTTAAGAAGATAATATAATTTCATTATTCTGCATTTGTTTTTCGAAATTACTGTTGAAGTCAGAATTATTAGCTCCCCTTTGAAATTTGTTTTCTTTTTTAAATATTTCCCAAAATATGTTTAAGAGAGCAAGGAAATGTTCACAGAATGTCTGATAATATCTTTTCTTCTGGAGAAAGTCTTATTTGTTTTATTTTGGCTTGAATCAAAGCAGTTTTAAATTTTTAAAAACCATTTTAATTTTTCAACAAACCATCGTTATACAATAACTTGCCTAATTTACCCTAACCTGCCTAGTTCACCTTATTAACCTAGTTAAGCCTTTAAATGTCACTTTAAGCTGTATAGAAGTGTCTTGAAAAATATCAAGTAAAATATTATTTACTGTCATCATGGCAAAGATAAAATAAGTCAAGTTATTAGAGATGAGTTATTAAAACTATTATGTTTAGAAATGTGCTGAAAAAAATCTTCTTTCCGTCAGACAGAAATTGGGGAAAAAATAAACAAGCAGTCTAATAATTCTGACTTCAACTGTATATATGTAAATATGACATGCATTGTAGAGTTCTACTATAATCAGTTCATTATTAAACTTATAATTGAGTCATTAGTCATTTAATACATATAACAGCTTACCTTAAAGACGAAGGATTCATTGAACACTGGGTTGAGGGTCTTTTTGTGCACCTTGGTGTCGTACTTTTTCTTCTTATCTGGTAGAATGAAGACTTTAACATAAGGGTCAGACGTTCCTCCAGAGTCCATGGAGATCAGATCGGCACACTGCAGGATTCCCACGGTCAGCTGAGGAAATAAACATTTGGGATATGTAGGGGAGTAGCTTATTTTGAAATGTACTAAAGCAAACGTACAAAATTCCGCAAATAAAAAGACAAAGTATAAAGTATACTTATATTCAGGGCTTGACATGAACTTTTTTTTTATCACCAGCCACTGTGGCTAGTAGTTTTCCACCATTACTAGCCACTTGCCCTTTTCACTAGCCACAATTTTATTGTTGGGAAAATATATTTTATAAACATAAATATGGCTTTGACATGCTAAAACTACTTGATTTAGATTTTGTGTTGCGTCCACATGCCTCCTCATTTATTTCACTTTTTGTATGTCGTGTATGAGCTTGCTCAACAATCATGAGCAAATGGGTCATATTATTACAATTAGTTTTTATTTCAAATACTTTTCAGAGCTTAAAATGAAGGATTTACCCAGTTTATCTCTGACCACACCAAACACAAATAATTAATTATTTCTTAGCCACAAATTTTAAATGTGTCAAAATATGCAAAATACAGCTGCATGCTATTCATTTTATTTAACAAAACGTAATCTATCCTGGCTAAAGGTCCCAGATCACCACTTAACTACACATAAATGCAACCCAGGCTCATTATGGAAATGTAGCCCAGCGGTTGTTTCTGGAGGCCGCAAAATATGTCCCAGGAGGTACGTATTTGTGCAGTTTTTGTTTTCGCAAATCCGTGAGAGGCCGCTGTGCGTGCTTTTTTGCGTCTCGAAAGCCTCTCAGGAGCGCGTGCCGTTTGCGCTCTTGCTGTTCTCGCGCGAAAAGCCGCCGGAGGCCGCTATCGAGCGACCGTCTGTCCCAAGCAACGATTTCCAAAAGCTGTATAGAAATAAAAAAAAGCAAAAGCCCTCGTCCGATTTTGAACGCGTTTTCGGATTTCACCGCATTCTCGTCCTGTCGCAAACTCGTTCGCTTTTATTTTTTGGGTTCTGTTTTTCATCTTACCTGATTTCTGAAACCGCTCTTCCCCGGACTCGAACCAGGTCGTTGTTGCCGCGGCCAGCTTCTCCTCCTCCAGGCCTCAGGTCCGCCGACGTAACACCACAAGCTAAACGGACAAACTGGTTTTGGCGGGAAGCGCAGCGTTCGCTTGAAAAAAACTAAATGCGTCCATACGTACCTCCGGCCACGTAAATCGCGGTCTCCAGAAACGTCCGCGGGGCAACGTTTTCAGAATGAGCCTGGGTTGCATAAATGGGAAGTTAATCTCCCATTAAAGCAATGTTATTGTAAAAAATCCTAACTAAACCATGTTAACGCAAAAGAAAGCAGGTAAACAACATACTGAAAAGGTAGTGAAAGGATAATCACACACACAAGGTTAATGTTAGAACTATGAATAATCTGTTCAAAGAATGGTTACAGCAAAAGCAACCCGTGCTGCTTACAAAAAAAACTGATCTGGAACTCTTGAAAGCAGCAAGACTGTGGGTGCATGCTCATTACTTTTTGACTAGTCTATTTTAAAGAAACCCGTTCACATCAGTTGTGTTTCTAGACACAGTTGCTTTACGAAGGAAGTGGGAGCACACATGCATTTAAAACAACCTCAGCTGTTAGCGCGGATGATTATCCTCTCATTCGGTATTCACTTGCTTTCTATTTGCATGCATATTGGGCCATCCTTTGTTGAACCCTGCTTTTGAGAATTATTACCTGGGAAAATTATTTTTAACAAGCCAAAGTGGCTATTGGGAGTGTCTGCCCGCTGAAATCTAATCACATTAATTTCAAGCCGTGCTTATAATATGCATTTGATGACAGTGGTTAGGTTACTATCCACCACTAGTATGAAGGTGAAATGAACTCAACTTTTTTCCTTTTTGCACGAATGATATTTACATGGTCACACTATCGATAAATAAAGAATTATTTTCACCAAGTTCTTTGCACAACACCATATAAACACCACAAAACAACTCAACACTGTCCATGATATGTAATATTCGTGTCATCTATCTGTCTCCATATGGTTAACTTTTCTGGAGTGGTCCGTTTACTTGGTAACCGTACATATTATTTTCTAGCATAACAACCACTTAGGGCTCCATGCATCTTAAAAATGGGATTTGATTGCATTAGAAAACCAGTCAGCAATATGGTTTATCTATCATTAGTGTTTGTCTAAAGTCATCTTGGTGAGCTGTGAGGAGCTCTAATACCTACAGCTGTGACTCAGCTGAAAGTGAAGCACATGACTGAACACCGTCATTAGTAAAAATACAGCGCAGCACGAGCACAAACTCTCTCTGAGACCACCATACAGACAACTCTGAAAAGATGTATTTGTTAAAGAAACAGTTCACCCGAAAATACTAACTCTGTCATTCTTTATTCAGACTTGTGTCATTCCACACACAAGCACACTGTCTTTATTTCTGTGCCACAAAATGAGAAACCTCCACAATTTTGTATTAATTATGTGATGTAATGTGTGTTTATATGACACATTTATTGTGTTTGGCCATACACCCAAAGCGCACACAGGACAAAGCCGCCACAAGACAGGGGCGCTAGTGCGCTCACCACACACCAGCTATAGGGGGAGTGTAGACAGTGATACAGCCAATTTGGAGCCAGGACACCTGGGTTACATGCCTTCTCTTCACGAGAAGTGCCATGGGATTTTTAATGACCAAAGTAAGTCAGGACCTCGGTTTAACGTCTCATCCGAAAGACGGCACTCACTGAGCAGCATAGAGTCCCCTTCACTGTACTAGGGCATTAGGACTCAGACTGTAGGTTGTGCACCCCATGCTGGCTTCACTAACACCACATCCAACAGCAACCTAATTTTTTTCATGTGGTCTCCAATCCAGGTACTGACCAGGCTCAGCCCTGCTTGGCATCAGTGAGTAACCGGTCTTTGGTCTTACATGGTGACATTATATTATTCATTCATTCATTAATTTTCTTTTTGTCTTAGTCCATTTATTAATCTGGAGTCGCCACAGTGGAATGAACCGCCAACTTATCCAGCATATGTTTTACGCAGCGGATGCCCTTCCAGCTGCAACCCATCACTGGGAAACATCCAAACACACTCCTTCACACTCATACACCATGGACAATTTAGCCTACCCAATTCACCTATAGCGCATATCTCTGGACTTGTGGGGGAAACCAGAGCACCCGGAGGAAACCCACGGCAACACTGGGAGAACATGCAAACTCCACACAGAAATGCCAACTTACCCAGCCGAGGCTCGAACCAGTGACCTTCTTGCTGTGAGGCGAAAGCACTACCTACTGCACTACCTCCGCATCACCGATTTTATATTATATTATATAATATTATATAATATTATATATATATATATATATATATATATATATATATATATATATATATATATGAGACACAATGACTGACTTTATTGACAAATAAAAATAAAGGCTTTCTTCTAAAAATATTTCTGAGAAAAGGGACTTTTACATTTTATTTTACTCTAATTTATAATATTAATATTTATAAATTAATATTAGCTAATTTGATAAGTTTAAAAATATGAATAAATAAAAAATAAATAGACTCAAATATCATTTACCACAAAATATGAATACAAGCTGATCAAACTGAATTTCCTTCGGCTTAGTCTCTATTTCAGAGGTCACCACAGCAAAATGACCCGCAATCTATTCCGGCAATAAGGTTTTTATGCAGCGGATGCCCTTCCAACCACAACCCAGCAATGGGAAACACCCACACACTCTCTCATTCACACACACACTCATACACTAGGGTCATTTAAGTTCATTCAATTCACCTATAGCGCTTTGTTGGACTGTGGGGGAAACCGAGCACCCGGAGGAAACCCACACCAACACGGCGAGAACATGCAAACTCCACACAGAAATGCCAACTAGACCAGCTGGGATTTAAACCAGCGACTTTCTTGCTGTGAGGAGATAGTGCTATCCACTGAGCCACCGTGTCACCCTTGATTAAATATCTTTATCTTAAAACTGATTAAAAAAATAACTTACGTTTTAAAAATTATATTTTAAAAAATCTAATTAGTTTTTCTGAGAACAACATACTGTATTTGGGAATGTCTTGATTGACCAATCAGAATCAAGTAGTAATATTTATAATTATATATGTAGTCATCTAATTTAACTGTATTTTAAAACGTTCCCTGCAGTGCCTTAAATCCAGCATCTTTACCTTGTTATCCTGGAAGTCGTAATCCAAAGAATATTGAAGCTTTCCCAGTTTCTCCACTTCTTTCTCCTCTTCCTCTTTCTCCTCCTCTGTCAAACCGGTTTCTCCTTCTTCATCGTCATCATCCTGTTGTTTCTGCGGGTGCAAATGTTAAACGTTTTAATCATGTTGACATCCGAAATATGAGTATATGTGGTTCCTGTCTATAAGCATGCCACAAGCTCAGGGCCCGGTCAGTTGCAGACAGTACAGGTTGGAGAGATGCTTTTCTATTTTAAATCTGTCAAAGCAGACTTGGAGTAATGTTGTCATTCAGGGCTGGATGTTGAAAATGACTCGAGTTCGCAATTTTTATTGGTAACACTTATGTTGTAAAACAGTTTAATTGGTTAATACGATTATATTTTGTATATACACTCAGCGGCCACTTTATTAGGTACACCTGTTCAACTGCTCGTTAACACACATTTCTAATCAGCCAATCACATGCCAGCAACTCAATGCATTTAGGCATGCAGACATGGTCAAGACGATCTACTGCAGTTCAAACCGAGCATCAGAATGGGGAAGAAAGGTGATTTAGGTGATTTTGAATGTAGCCCGTTGGTGCAAGACAGGCTGGTCTGAGTATTTCAGAAACTGCTGATCTACAGGGATTTTCACGCACAACCATCTCTAGGGTTTATAGAGAATATTCAGAGAAAGAGAAAATATCCAGTGAGTGGCAGTTCAGTGGGTGCCTAGGCCGTGTTGATGCCAAAGGTCAGAGGAGAATGGCCAGACTGGCTCCAGCTGATAGAAAGGCAACATTAACTCAAATAACAACTCGATATGTACACAAATGGCCTCCACAGTCACGAGATCTTAATCCAATAGAGCACCTTTGGGATGCGGTGGAACAGGGGAATCACATCATATACGTGCAGCCGACAAATCTGCAGTAACTGTGTGATGCTATCATGTTAATATGGAGCAAAATCTCTGAGGAATATTTCCAGTATCTTGTTGAATCTATGCCACGGAGGATTAAGGCAGTTCTGAAGGCAAAAGGGGTCCAACCCGGTACTAGTAAGATGTACCTAATAAAGTGGCCGGTGAGTGTAGATTCAAAAGAGCTTTTTGGCAGCACTAGAAGAATACTGTTATTGATATGCATAAAGAGTCATGCAAGCATTTCCTCCTCATCTGCATGATAAATTGAACTGTTCATCAGTGATGCTCCAGGGAACAAGTGATGACAGCAAATATTTAAAGAAGAACAGGCTCCTTTGTGCTATTCTGGGCATATGAAATGCTGACATGTCGTTCTTGTGTGGTTTTGAACATCATCCAAAATAATCTATAACGTGCAGAATACATTACTTTACATTTCTTAAATAGGTCACATGTTCTGCACTATACAGTGGCCCAAAAATATTTGGCAACCAAGCCACACTTTGAAATGTCCCAAAGTGATTTAGTGATAATAGCATTACACATTCATAGTAGGGCTGCACGATATTGAAAAATCGTGTTTATTTTTCTGCGATAAATATGAAAAGATGGTTTGAGTAGCTCTATTTGCCGATTTTCTGGTTAGTCTAACACAGGGGTGGGCAAACTCTGTCTTGGAGGGCCGGTGTCCTGCACAGTTTAGCTCCAACACTAATCAAAAACACCTGAACATGCTAATCAGTGTCTTCAAGATCTCTAGAAATCTTAAAGCAGGTGTGTTTTGTTTAAAGTTGGAGCTAAACTACGCAGGACACCGGCCTTCCAGGACCGAGTTTGCCCAACCCTGGTCTAACAGTATTCAGGAACAATAATGGAACAATCACAATGTTAATCAAATGCTTTTCTTCCTCTGCTTCGTCCTGTTTCTAGCCCAAATATCTAAAAATTCTTAGATCAAGTAATACTATTGTTTTGTTTCCACCTTAACTCTTTACAATAAGGTTCATTAGTTAATGCCTCTACTAACATGAACTAATCATGAACAACACTTGTACAGCATTTATTAATCATAATTGAACATTTACTAATGCATTATTAACATTTAAGTCCATGCTTGTTAACATTAGTTAATGCACCGTGAGTTAACAATTAAACAACTGTATTTTCATTAACTAACGTTTATTAACATGAATAAATACTGTAGTAAATGTATTGTTCATTGTTTGTTCATGTTAGTAAATGCATTACTTAACATTAACTAATGAACCTTTTTGTAAAGTGTCACCAATTAATAGTTATTTTGTTTAAAATAAGCTAAATTATCTGCCACAGTGATAGTAAAATAATCTTGTTTTTGTTTTGAAACGTAGATATTTGGACTAGAAACAAGACAAAAATTCTAAGCAAGAAAAACTTTTTGTTGCAAAAATCGTATCAATTCTGTATAAATAATTCTATAAAATAAATCTGTCACACCTCCAAACATATTTTTTTTTGTGCTCAAATGTTCTAAGCTCTCTTGAAATTATCAGTCACAAGCCTTTCAAAACACATGCAAACTTTACAAATCACATGTGTTCTGTGGCTCCTGGTCAACTATAATCTAGACTCAACATTGCATATCTTGTGATGTGACTATTGCAAATTCTCACATTGCGATATCGATGCTAAAACGATATATTATGCAGCCCTAATTCATAAACATTATTACTATCATGAGTACCTGTTTTAACCCTTTATCAGACGAATAACCATACACTGAAAAAAATGATGTCTGCAAAACTGTTGCAAACAATTTATTTGTGTTGAATTTAAACAAACAAATTTAATTGGATAATATTCTACTTAATTTGTGTTTAAATTGAGCTGAAATAAATTGTTTACAACCACTTAACGTAAAAAAAAAAATGAGTAAATCCAAAAAATCTTGTATATGTATATGGTACTTTTTTTTGTTTTTGTTTTTCATATTATTTTAGGTCATAAAAGGTCTTGTAATAAACCCTTATGACATGGGATCATTCAATGAGTATCTCAGCGATTGCCCTATAAAGGGTTAACAACCTATCACATAAAAAAAAGAATAATGTTAATAATTCTCATTATTAATATTACATTTTAGCATAAGATATCAAATCAAGCCTCATTCATATGTCTAAAACGCAACTAGCCCAGCAGGCACAGGATGTCAACATGACATCAGATTGACGTTGTACCCCAACGTCGTGGGATGTAGCATTTTATTTGGAAATGAAAATCGGGTTGGTGTCAGAACCCAATGTCAGGTCGACGTCAATGTCCAACATCGGAGAGACGTTGCATTTGGGTTACTTTCCAACGGCACCTAAAAACAACAAAATAACAACGCCTAATGGTGTTATCACTTGACGTTGTGTGGACGTTACTAATATGAAGTCTACCGGACATTGGATTTTGGTCATACTTGATGAATAAATCTCAGTATTTGACGTCAGTATGATGTTGGTTTAAGATGTTGGCTCAACGTTGGATTTTGGTCACGTTCCAACAAATCCTAAAATCAACAAAATATCAATGTCATTTCATGTCATTATTGGACATCAAAATAACATCGTCCTAAACATTAAACGGCGACCTAAATCTAACTAATATTAACGTCTTATGACGTTGTGTGTCTGCTGGGTGGTATGATATTTTAATGCCTAACATAATTACATTCAAATATTTACAAGTGTGGTTGAAGTGTCCAAATAGTTTTTGAGGTCACTTTATGTAAAGATGCATTCTTACAGTTGAAGTCAGAATTATCAGCACCCCTGAATTATTTTTTCAGCACATTTCTAAACATAATAGTTTTAATAACTCATTTCTAATAACTGATTTATTTTATATTTGCCATGATGACAGTAAATAATATTTGATATATTTAGATATTTATATATATATATACGGAGACCCAGAAGGGGGTTGAGTAATAGGTAAACATATTTTTGAAAGTTTTTGCGTTCACTTGCAAATATGTTTTGCGTTCCCTCGGAAAACTGTTGTTGGACAAACACTTCACTTTATACATGACAACCCTGTTTTTGACGGGATTGTCCCATATTTTACCATTATATCCTATTATTAAGTATTTTCCAAAATTTCTCTCATATGTTTAATCTTGAAAGCATGTTGAAATTAATATAAAAATGTCTGAATTCACTTTCTTTCCATTAAAGCTGAGCGTCGATCAGCGCCCCTCATGCAACCTCTGAATCAGTGAATGCATGTATAAGCGCTGACGGACCCCCAGATCAGCTGTGCCCACCATTTAAAGAGGAGCTAACGTGTAGGACAATTTGGGATTCCGGTGTGTG